ACCAAAAAAACATCGACACATTTGAAATATGATGAACACTACCCTCTGGTAAACTAACATAGCTATTGAAAATGATCATTTATAGTGAGTTTTCCCATTAAAAATGGTGATTTTCCATAGTTATGTTACGTTAGTTTACCAGAGGGTATATCTGGTTGGTGGTTTGGAATATTTATTTTATTCCACAATATCTGGGATATTCCTTCCCATTGACTATTTTTTCAAGAGGGTTAAAGCCACCAACCAGATATAGATCTATATAGATCTAAAAGGTATATCATACATAGTAATTAACAATAATAACAATAGTCATAACAATCATAATGATAATAGTGACACTTTACAATAACATACCATCAATTTAAGGCTGAAGTATACGTGTAGCGACCTCACCAATCAGGTCACGTAACCGATGATGATTTCTGTGGCTAGCAACCATGACAGTTCAGCCAAGTGATTGACGTTTTATTTGGCACTTTGCTGGCTAGGATGCACATGCAAGATCAGAATTTCGGATAGCCAGATCTAGTCAGATATTATTACTGGTGGGGTCCATGTTGGTCTCAGTTCAGATAACTAGGTGAATTCTATGGTGTATGGTAGATACATCGAATTTGGCTTTATTTATATACATATGTCTTACATCTAGAACAGTTCTTCTGGTATAGTATCAATGATGTTTTCCCCATCATTTCCGGGTAATTCCAACTTTTTTTACCGGCATTTTTATTTGGAGGTTTCCCGAAATGGAGGTACCCCAAGTCACCATAGGTTTCAATACTATCTCGTGATCGTCTATGACTTGGATGACAATTAGCGGTCCCCCAACAGAACTTAGGAACCCCCATGTATCTAGGTTTCACCAACCTGAATGGTTCGGCCATTTGGGGATGATTTCCCTTAAGCATTCCCCATTGTTATACCATATGTTAGGGAATGAACATCCATTATAATATATTATAACCACCTATTTCAGGGGCTTTAAGCAATAACCCATCCATATCCCATGGTTTGTACATGGTTTGTATACCCCAAACAGCACTTTGAACTGGGAAACTCTGGGAAACTGAGGTGGTTCATCCAGTTTTTTTTGTTGGAAGCAACCGTGGCACACCACCATTCCGCCCAGTTATAAGTTGGTTTTTAAGCCCCAGGAACTATATAGTTATAAGTACCATAAACCAGTTCGTGAAATTGGAGTTATTAGTTCACCCCAACTGAACGCTATCCGCTATCGTGGTAAACGGGGGCCTATAACCATTGTACCATTCCGCGTGGTTCCGCGTGGTTCCACGTGGCGCAGGTGCTGGGTGTGCAGGTGGGTGTGGTGGTGCTGAACACCTTGATGGACGCCTGCTGCCGCACCGCCAATCTGCCACAAGCCACGCAGCTCCTGGACGACATGGCGCGGATCCAGGGGTCCCGGGAGGAGATCAGTGGACGAAACTTGTGGTTTGAATGGGAAAAACCATGGGAAAACCCATGGGAAAATGGGAAAACCAGGGGAAAACCATGGGAAAATGGGAAAACCCATGGGAAAACCTGAGAAATTCTAGAACATATTGGAACATCTGAGGGTTTCAATGGAGGTTTCAATGGGAAATATCCTTGAGAAAATATGAGAAAATCCCTGAGAAAGAGCTTTTTTTTAAGGTTGGGTTCTGGACTTTGGGAGGGAAAACATGGGAACAACCAATCTGGGTAAATTATAACGACCTCACTGCGACCTCACTGGAATAATGGTTAGTAAGGGAAATCATCCCCAAATGGCCCTAATTCAGGTTAGTGAAATATTATAATTTACCCAGAACCAATGTCAAATTCTTGACCGAGATGTCCAAGTTTACAGACCCATGTACTCGTACCATTTCGTACCAGAATGCTGGATAAATAATACGGACCTCGCTGCGACGTCACTAGAATGATTGTGCGTAAATGTTAGTAGGTTCACTATCCCAAAATTGCTGAACATTTCAGGCGAAGAATGAATCATTATGATTTATGCAGACTGTTGATGGGTTAATCTGGGGACTAGACCAACTGGTTTTCCCGGAGCTTATTTGAACATAACCTATGATAGGGACACCTATTTGCCAAGATGGGATAGGGCCGATAGGGGTACTCTTCATGGCACACAAATTTGTTGCCAAATTTGCTAATTGATGAGCATCCGGGCGTCTGGGTATTTCCCAATACATCCCAGTCTTAAGGGTTATTATAACCCACTTGCCAATTGTGGAAACATTTTAAGGAGGGACTAGGTCCGTGCGGTTCGGGGTTGAAATGGACAGCCCTGAAGATGCCAGCAAGAATCTGGATTTGAGATTATTTAAGTTTATTTCACAAACAAGAAAGAAATAAAGAAAGAAAAGAAAGAAAGAAATAGAGAAAGAAAGAAAGAAAGAAACACACAACCAAAGAAACAATCAAACAATCAAACAAACAAAGAAACAAAGGGATGCAGACTTTTATATTTTGAACATGCTGTTCAAAGTGGTGATGAAATGTAATTTATTCATCCTTTTTTCCTGCCATAAATAGGTTGGCCCAAAAAAATGGTTGTCTCCGATTACGTATGTAGCGAAGACAGCAGAAGGGAATGGGCAGAGAAACCATGAGCGCTGATGACCTGGAGTGTGGACATACCCTCTGGTAAAGTAACATAACTATGGAAAATCACCATTTTTTGTGGGAAACATCCACTATAAATGGCCATGTTCAATAGCTATGTTTGTTTACCAGAGGGTATTTGGTGTTATTTTCCATCCCATATACCTGGTTGGTTGGAACATGAATTTTATTTTCCCATATATTGGGAATAATAATCCCAACTGACTAATATTTTTCTGAGGGGTTCAAACCGCCAACCAGATATAGTATCTTAGATTATCCATTGGTCAGTTAATGGCAGTGGCCGTGGAAACTCCCCTTCCATTCAGGTCCATAAAAGATGAGACAACCGATATCGAAACTGACTTGGTCATGGTTTATGGATGTTAATCTGGTTGGTGGTTTGGAACATGGCTTTTATGACTTTCCATATATTGGGAATAATAATCCCAACTGACTTTAACTCCATCATTTCTCAGAGGGGTAGGTCAATCACCAACCAGTATTGATATATATATATATATATTATACATGGTTGTATATGTTATATATATATAAACAATGGTTCAGTATTATAATATATATATATATTATGTGTATGTATAATAACTATATATATATATATAATATGTTGAACCATGGTTGTAACCACAACTGTAGTATATCCATGGTTGAATCATGAGGTCTAAACTCTTTTTACGTTGAAACAACCGTGAGTCCTTTTTTCTAGTTCGCCATGGCGCCAGGCTCGCTTCGAGATTGTGCCAGATCTGATTACATACAGCACCCTGATCAAAGGTGCGCTCGGTGGATGGGATTTGTTGGGGCATGGGGGGCAGATGGCAGATGGCTGCAGCTACGCTACGCGTTTGGCTTGCGGTAGGCCGAAAAAAGCCATCGAAAAATGTCGCGAGGTCGGAGTTGAAATTCTCAGATACGCGAAGAAATCATCGAAGAAATCATGGCTGCGCAGCGGCGCTTGAATCAAAGCAAAACGGATCGCGCTCACCGTCCATGGTGCTGACTCTGATAGGTCCATTGATGGCTGCTTTTTAAAAGGTGATATGGGGATCATGAAAAAGGATGTGCTTGGCTCATGAAGTTTTGTCTGGAGCTTCAAATTCCTGTAACGGAACGTGTGTTCATTAGCCAATTTTGGAGGATTACTTGGCTTGGCGTCTCAACCTCTTTTCTTGCAGAGTTTCAACGGTGCTGAACCAGTGTCTTACAGTGGACCCGTCAATTTTTTGCAATATACCCTCTGGTTATGACTAACATAACATAGCCATGGTTTTTCGATGGCCCTAATCGAAATAGAGGTTTACCGTTCTTAAAAATGGGTGGATATGGGTGGATCTTTCCATGGCAAACTGTTAGTCATAACCAGATGGTAGATTTCCACTTTTCAAGCTGCTCCTTTTGTTGCTGAACACATCAGGGTTCACAAAAATTTGGGTGGCCGATGCTATCCAAGGGGCATACTCCATTTTCAGACACCGCAAGAGTTGGTCTTACCAAAGCTGGTTGGTGGTGACTGGAACATGGCTGGATTCTGACTTTCCCATCATATTGGGAATGGAATAATCATCCCAACTGACTTTAACTCCATCATTTTTCAGAGGGGTTGGTAGGTCAACCACCAGAAAGTATCCCAGCAAATATCCACCAACCAGATATTATTAACCATCATTAATCATTAATCATCATTAACCATCATTAAATCACCATTAAATCATCAACCAAATATCCTCAAGCAGAGTATATGGCCCATATTGTCCCCTAGGGCTGTCAGGCTGCCGCATCCCCGGTTCCTTGGGATTTTCAGGTCATTGTTCCAAGGGTGACTTGGACAAGGCCGGCCCAGAGGGTGACCACCGGTGCGACCTGGGGATGGTGGTGGAGTCTCCACCGGTGGATTGGTGAGATGGTTATAATACCCAGAAAAATCATGGTTTAATAAGTTAATAAGTTTCATGATGTTTAATGAGTCGAACTATGGTGTTTTTTTTTGTGGAATATGATGGGGAAAATCATAGAAGTATTATGACTATAGTGGACCCTGGTTGATGAATTTCTTGGTGATTTTCTGGGGACGAGATTCCCCATGGCTCAGTGGCTCAGTGGCTCAAGGGGATGCCAAGTGGGGTATTTTCCATGGAGAGAGAAGGGTCATAGAATGATGATAGAATGGATACTTTGTTTGATTCATAGTCCATTGAAATATAGTTCTGTAACATATAGGGATGAGTGTTTTTTTTGTTCCATCTGTGTGAAAGTCAATTTTTAGGGATTACAGATATACGGAGATGGATTAAAACTGATGAACTACATTTTGAGGGATAAACACTCATCTGGTTGGTGGTGACTGGAACATGGCTGGATTATGACTTTCCCATCATATTGGGAATGGAATGTCATCATCCCAACTGACGAATTCACTCCATCATTTTTCAGAGGGGTAGGTATAACAACCACCAGCCAGTCATGAAAAAAACCATCATGAATCTTCATTAACCATCATTCAATCACCATTATGTTGGGATACAGCTGTAGTATATCCCGAGGATTTTTGGACAGAAAAGGGTGGCCATGGTGGCCACATGGGATGACATGGGATGATGGATGCCAGATGAATCCACTTTTTTCCCACTTTTTTCAGTTCTACTTTCCATAGATACTATATAGTTAGCTTTATGGGTAGGTATCCCATGTAGATATGTATGTCTTGATATGAATTCTATGTTTCATGTGTGTTGGTTTCTTTTGGGTCTATCTCCAGTTCTGATCAAACAGCAGTATATCGCTGTTGCTTTTTTCCCATCCTAAAGAATCAGCTCCCTGCTCTCTATACAAAGTTTCATGATCCAAAATATGATCCAAACACTAACACAAAATATCCCAAACACATTATATACATTGAGTAAGATTTCCTCTGTCTGTATCTAAGTAAATTAATAAATAAATAAACATAGATATAGACAATATAGATATGGCTTTAGATATAATATATATATATATATAAAGATAGATAGATAGATAGATAGACAGACAGACAGATAGATAGATAGATAGATAGACAGATAGATAAATAGATAGATAGGTTAGATAGATAGATGGATAGATGGATAGATGGATAGATGGATAGATGGATAGATGGATAAATAGATAGATAGATAGATAGATAGATAGATAGATAGGTAGGTAGGTAGGTAGATAGGTAGATAGGTAGATAGGTAGATAGGTAGATAGGTAGATAGGTAGATAGGTAGATAGGTAGATAGGTAGATAGGTAGATAGATAGATAGATAGATACATAGATATATAGATAGATAGATAGATAGATAGATAGATAGATATCATATATCATATATCATATATCATATATCATATATCATATATCAATGATATATCATATATCATATATCATATATCATATATCATATATCAATGATATATCATATATCATTTATCATATATGATATATCATTCATATATCATTTATCATATATCTATATCCATATCATATATAGATGTTAAATTACATGCTAAGATATATCATAGATCCGAATCTCCAGTTCAGTTACAGTTCCAGGCCTTGGAACTCTTCGGAGCTATGAGGCGCAGAGGCGCGAAACGAGACACATCAAAAATCCATTGAAAATTGTGAAAAAAATCCATTAAACAAAAACGTTTTTTCTATACAAATGGTGGAACTTTGTTGGGGATTACTATGATTTGTACTATGATTTTTACTATGATTTACTATGGGCTTGTGAATTGAGGAGTTTTGATGGCTTACTAGATATTAAGGGTGATGTGAGCTTGATTTCAGGTTTATTGAAGGTTGTTCAAGGGTTGTTTGAGGGTTGCTAAGGGTAGTTATAAGGATGAAGGGTTGTGGAAGGTTGTGAAATGGTTTCTGATGTTGATGTAGAAGTATTGACCACGATCTACCATTGTAGGTCCTTGAGAAAATATTTTCTTGTTCCAGAGAAGTTATAGTGACATCATGGCCCAACCAAGCACCATAAACGACGCTTACCTTTTGGTGACATGGCAATTCAACATCCATCATACATACATACATACATACATACATACATACATACATACATACATATATATATATATA